CATCCACGTGTTAGAAAAATTAAGGTACTTCTAAGCAAGAAGGGTTGGGCGAGAGAGGAAGTCCAGGCCCTCAGGTAACGTGTGACTAAATACTGTCCCTGCCAAGAGAACTTCTGTCTTGTCAGGATTTCCACCAGCACTGCCAGAAAAGTATAGTTTCTGAGAACAGCTCTGAGTCCTCATGTGTGTGGGTTGGGGGACGGGGACAGTGTTATTGTCCCACTCTGTGGGGGCACTGGGAGTTACCTGCTGGGATTGCTGCTGCTGGGCAGCTTGCTTTTCATAGGTGGGGTGTTGCCTTCAGGAAGTCTTTGAAAACCTACTTTCATTTCTCCAGAATGCAGTTTCCGTGTTTGTTTTCCTTTCCTAGTAGTTACTTTGTTACTTTTCCTTTCTTTCCATTCTCAGTAGGGAAACTTGCAGTGAGAGAAGGGACTCCCTTGTTGCTGGAAGCACAGCCTTGTGTCCAGAGCTGGGTGGTGGCATGTCCCCATATGGATCGTGGGCAGCCCACAGCCTTTGGGAGATGGAGCTGGCTCCTGCTGCTCAGCCAGGATGATGGCAGTTCCTTTCCTTGGGGACAGAGGTGGTGCCCAAGTCACCATGGGCTGGGCTGGCTCTCCCTGGGCACGGTCACCCAGATGCCAGACCCAGTTCTGGCATCTTGGTGGGAATATCTTTCTTTCCCTGAGTGTAGAAATGCTGCCATTCACATTAGTGTACATCAAACTCACATGTCGCCTGTATGACAGTGATTTTATTTGTTTAATTAACACATGCCACTTCATCTCTTGGATACCTTTATCTCTGTGTTTGTTCAGCGCCCAGCCCAGCAGGACTCAGCCTGGCAGAGGTGGGCAGGAGGTCCCACAGCGCAAATACAAAGTGCTGATGTGAGGCACTTCAGGCATAGTTTCTCCTTCAGAGTGCAGAGGGAATTTGAGAGATTTTTCCAAAATCACCTATTTAAAAGGATAAGTCTTTGTCGGGTTTACAAAAGGCAGCATATTTCCCAAAACTTGAACCTTTGACTATGGGTGTGTGTTTAACTGGTAAAAGGAAAGCATTGCTCATATCTATCCATAGTAACCAGTGAGCCCCAGTTGTTGCAGTGTCTGAGTTTTTAAAGCTACTGCTGGTGTATGGACTTGCCCTGTGGGGACATTGTTGGGTTGTGTGGATGTCCCCTTAGTTCATTGGGAAATAAATTTCCATTTCCATCTTAGCATCCCATATGTTTCTTAAAATTCTATTAATATTTAAATTGATCTTTAAATTACCTCACAAGAAATAGTACAGGGAGGGGAGAAAAAGAGGGGTTTGTTTGGTGTTAATCCTGTGCAGGTAGTTTATGCAGCAGTGCTGAGCAAGATTAGTTTTAGTTTCAGATACCAGTAATGCTGATTTTTAATCTGAGAAATAACTTCTTAGCTCTGCTGAATTATATTGACAGGACTCTCAATAATCACGAAAATACTTTTAAAGAACAGAAATACCAAAGACGCGTAAAGTTACTATAGCAGGTTAATGTATGAGATAAGCTACAGAATAAAGTATGAGAAGGCAAAAATGAGTATTATGAAGGAATTCCTTAATAAAAGGGATGAAATTTTGCGAGGTACAAAGTGTTTGAAAGAATGAATCAGAACTGATGTAGGTGCTGCTGGATCTCTTTCTCTTATGAAGAATTGCAGTGTAAGAACTTACCAGAAATAGAAAATCCTCTCAATATTTTTCTGTGATTAATGTTTTTTCTTATGCATGTGTAGACCGAGGCTCAAAAAATGGACTCTTTGACCTAAGTTGTTACAAAGCCGAGTGTAAAATTGAGAGGATTTTGGCCACCAGCCTTGCTGTACCCAGTGAGCAACATCTTGTTTCTTGAAGAAAATAAAATAGTGGTTGATGGGAGCACTGAGAGCTCAGTCCTGATCAGTTGTTGGTGCCATTTTCCAGAGATTTCTGGAGTAAGAGCAGGATCTATAAATCTTACCGTTATCTCATTAAAAGCAACCGAATGTTTGGGACTAGGAGATAGCAGGGCTTGAACTGCTTATTGGTTTCCCCTTGGAGTAAACTTGGAGCTGTTCAAAGGGAGCCACATCCAGAGCTCCTGATTGGAAAAACATGGACAGGGAGGAAAACGCCAAGACCCGTAGCTGCCTTCTGTCTCCAGCACCAGCGTCAAAATGTTTTAAAACTTTAGGATGAAATTGGGGGCTTAAGGTTTGCATCTCACTGGTGTTGGTAGGGGAGCAACAAATGGGGCCACCAGGGTACCCAGAGAGCACCTTGTCCTCTCTGGTGCCAAGGAGCCGACCCTGCCCTGTCCCCCTGTGTAAAGCTCTGCTTTTTTATGTTTTAAATACTTTTTCACAGACAGTGGTCAGACCTCCTATGCTTAAACAGAAGGAATTACATAAGTTTATGCAGTTACTTCCCATTCATTCATTGATATTTAAAGACAAGTGTGTCTGAAACTGGCTATTTGCCTACCCGCCTTCTAACAGTGACTTGGAAAATCCCTTTTAAGAGGCCTTAAAAGTGAAATTCGGGAACTCAAGAACCTGAGGACACTTGATGGGCAATGTCTTTCACTTGTGCCACACTAATAGCAGAGTGAAGCCCTGGGTCTTTGGGCTGAATTTAGTGCACTGGCTGCAGCTGTTAGTCACCAACTGCTTGTTAAACTCCAAGGTATTTTCCTTTGAAAAGTATTTCAGTCATGCTTGTCACAAGTAGAATTTGGAAGTCATTTTAAGTAGATCCTCTCCCAGACTTCACCCAGGACTTGATCAGTGGAATGAAAAACTCTCGTGGCCTTTTTTACAGAGCTCGATTCTTGACACAAACTGGCCTGAGAGGCTGGTTGATGGAGAGGAGCAGGGACCTGGTGGCGGGCGCCTGTGAGGCGAAGGCGGCTGTGATGCCCAGGAATGTCAGTTGTGAAACGAGTCTGAGCAGCTTTTGGATGGCTTCATTGTTTGTGGCACTCAGAGCTGGGTGGCTTGGCAAGGAGCAGCTTCGCCATCACCTCCCTGAGCCCCAGTTTCAAGTTACCTTCTCTGGAGCCTGGATGAAAATGGCTCTCTGGGAGATGTGAGCGGCCACAGGCAAACGCTGCCCTTCTCACCAGGTTGGGGCACACCAGTACAACAGCTTCTAGAGCACTTTTGGCTTGTGCTGGACTTTCTATGTGTTCTCAGGAAGGACCCTTGGTGTTCTCTCAGTAGCCAGAAGAAGACTTGCCCATCTGTGTTTCACTCCTTAGGTGTATCAGAAAGACCTTGGCAACAGGACATTACAGCTTCTACTTCCTAAACTCTCATTTTAAGGCAAAGCAGAGGGAGCATCCCAGTTTGTGCTATAACTTGGCAATGAATGACAATCAGTCCTTTTACACTAATAACCCACAGGACTTTAATAAACATCTTGGCTCAGAGCTTTCTATGACAGGCTGAGCCCTCAGGTGTGGTTATATCAGAGAAGAGGTGGACAGTAAGTTGCTTCATATTGTAATTAGATAAAAATACTGCTGTAAATTTAAAAAATAGTCGAATGTTCCAGGACATCATCTGTGAACTGCACTTAGTGGAGTGGCTCAACCCTGCTCTTGTTAGTGTTGGTGTAATGGGGGGAGGATGCCCCTTGGCTTGGCAGGGATGCCATGGGCAAACAGACTGGACTGAGTGCAGAATGATGCTGTGAAACCATTGGAAACAAGAAGCAGAAACGCTGGCTTACGAAGGATCACAGGTGTAATTAATTAAAAATAAATCAGAAAACAAGCTTGACAAATAATTTTTCCACATGAACATGTTACTTCGCAGAATTCTTTAGATAAAAGTTGTGAAATGTGAGTGTATTCAGATGGTGGCCTTCAGTCCTTACTGGAACAACGCTGACATGATTATAGTGCAGTTTAACTCCTTGTTACCTTCTTTGAACCCAAATTAAACTACATTAGGGAATGACACTCACCCACCGGGTTTGGGGCCAGGTAAGGCAGTAATCTCCCCTATTAAAACTGAGTTCCACGATTCAGGGATTTTTGTTTTTAAGCTGCAAGTCCAAATGCTGAGTGACAGTTAGAAGTTTATACACTTCTGCTCAAATCCATCTGTGTGACACCATCCACTGCTGCAGGGCTGTGTTCACGTGGTGGTGTTGGAAACAGGGACTGAGGGGTGGTCAGGAAAGTGGTGCCTGGAACCCGAGCCAGTTGGGTGAACCCACAGACGTGAAATTGGAACGCCAGTTAAAGGTCACATTTGATGTTTTACAAAAAACTGAGGATTTTGGTGAGTTTTAGAGAAAACTGACACCTCCAGGGCCATCTGGATGGCCATGTGGGAACGTCAGGTTGAAGTAGGCAACAAAAACATTGTTTTCAGGGGGTGTCTGTTAGAAACAAACAAACCCTTTCCTCAGCAGGGCTCCTTCCCCTGTTGGTTCAAGGGTATGTTTCCAAATTGTTTTCCTTCAGCCATGTGGTGTGGGTACTTGGTTGTTCCCTGCTTTCCCCAGGTATGGGACAAGGCTGGGTGTCCCCTGCCTGTGCTCCCTGTGACACCGGTGACACTTTTGTCCCACACTCTGCTCTGTGGCAGGTGAAGGCCAGGCTCAGGCTCCCTGTGTGTTATGTGGTTTCTGAGTGAGGAAGTCCTGCCCTTTCTCCTGTTCAAGCAGTAGCTCATTTTTTCATTTGCTTTTTTAAATCAGAATCAAAAAGGGGTTTGTTTGCGGTTGGACCATACTGTCTCATTGCTCCTGCTGTTGTAACGCAGACGAAAATCCAGCGACTTCAGGCTGGTGGGAACAGTAAAGCTGTGCACAAAAGCAATTTATATTGAAAACACCCAACTTTCCCTGCATTCCTGACCACAGGAGTTAGCGTACGCGTGCTGAGCAGCGGGGGCTTCAGACAGCCAAGTGACAGCAATCCTGCAATAATTCAAACCTCTAAAGCTGCCTTTTTTCCGTGTCTTTTCTCTCCACAGCCCTCCTGGGCCAGGTGATGACATACAGTTGGCTTCTCCCCTCTGTCCTTCTGAGCAACCCTTGGCTGTTTCTGCGACATCTGGAAATGCTGACCCCGTGGATGCTGCTGAGCTGACTGTGGCAAGGTACCGTGTCCCCATGCAAGAGCCATTCCCAGTGGGAAGCTCCCAACTCCTTACTGGTGCAGGCGGGTGGGAGACCAAGGAGGTCAGTTCTAGCTGAGAAATTGCTGTCACTCTCCTTGGATGGATATATGTCTGGGATGGCCCATCGCTGATGGCTTTGCTGAGCCTGTCTGTAGTCAGTGGAGCACCTCTCATGGAATTGCCTTGGTTGGAAGGGACCTTTCAGATCATCTAGTCCAACCATCAAGTGGAAATCTCTATCAGCATTTAAATTTCCCTCTACCAAAACCTTCAAAGGAAGACACCATTTATCTTTCCCTTAGATTGAATCACTTTGGCCCACAGGAGGGTCAGACGATGCAAAGGTGCAATATATTCCTTAAGTTTTTTAGGTGCTTTTATATATATATACATATATTTTTTATTAGTTCAAGGTCCTTTTGGCATTTTCTTTAATTTTGATAAGTTCCTTATCATTCTAATGCTGATCATAAAGCATTCAGCTATCTCATCTCTGTTGGACACTGGGCTTTTTGTCTGCTTTTACTTGCACAGAGAGAGGAAACTGTTGCTTTATTTGCGCTGGTGGCAGTTGGGTTGTCAAGGTCTCTGGGTGTATGAGCTTGTCTTAACTGGCAACAGCAGAGACAGACTTGTAGGGTGTGTTCACCCTTCTGTCACTGTGAATTCAGAGTGTAAACACACACAATATATTTAAGCTAGCATTAAATTGCTTAGCTAAAGTCGCAATAATGCGGAATCAAAGGCAGAAGGGAGCTCGTGTGGTTTGCTCGATCCACCTTAAATACTGGGTGACTTTGTTTTTTAGCCCATACTGGTTTTGTATCGGTCCCCAAGCTGGTTAGTGGCTAATGCTGGCTGAGTGAGTCTGTGAGAAACCAACTTTTTCCTACAATCGGGGTAAGATGATGTAGAGAAGCTTGCAGTGGGAAGCTACTGATGCGGATTTCTTCCCGTTCTTGTAAGTTTTTGCTCCAAGTGTTGTGTTTTTTGGTTTTTAACAAATGTAATTGAGTTACTGATGGGTTTTGGGGAATCCTGTTTTTTCTTGCTCGTGGATTGTTGGGCATAGGAACAAGATTAGAAAAGGGAGCAGGAATTGAGGTGGAGCCATGAGCTACTTTCTGAGTGTGGAGGGATGAAAAAAAGACTCACACCAAAAGCACCAGGAAGATTTTTATATGGTCTCTGGCCTACAGGCTGAAACAGAAGATTCTGTTGCCCTTGGGGTGATAGTTTGCTGTTTGTAGGGAAAAAGGCACGTGAGCTGTCTGTGATTAAATGTCACCTTAGGAAACATTTGGGAAGAGTGTTTTAATTTACTACTTCTTGTAAACCTGATGAATTCATGCTGTTCAGATTCTCATCTGCATCTGGAATTTCGAGTTAATTATAATATACCTTTTCTTCTGATCTACTGCATAACTTCTGCCTTTAAAATATTTTTACAGTTAATGTGCAAATGTTAGTCTTGGGGTTCCTTGCTTCATCCCAGTTGCGCAGACTGGGAGTGCTGGTGCTGAGCCCAGTAGGGGTGAGGGCACCCAGACCCTGCAGCAGCTGCAGGATCTGGCTCTTGTTTCCATATCCTGACCTTGGTGAAAGTGCAAGGGTTTTTTTGCAAGGGTTCAGTGCTAAAAAGTTGCAAACCAGGAGTATTTAGCCTGGAAGTAGGTAGTTTTTCAGCTCCTGAAAGGGAGGAAAGTGAGAGAGAAACACTGTGGTCAGTTGGAGTCAGTCTGGCTGCAGGTAGTTTGCTTGTGTTTGTTGGTTTTAATTTTTTTTGTTTATTTTTTTAAAAAGCCACACAAGTTAACTCCTGTCAGTATTGTTTGTTTTGCTTTCTCCTTTGTTTTGTATCCTTGTTCGGCTGTAGACTTAAAAGCCTACCTGTTCTCCTTGTACCTGCCTTTCCTGTCCAGGCTGTTGGGGCTTGCCAGCTTCTCCGGGAGCCTTGCCAGGGGTGGTCCCTGGTGTCCTGGCAGGAGAAATGCAGGAGTTTCCACAGGTGCAGCTGATGGGCAGAAAAGGGGTTAACATCAGCACAGCTGGACCCCTGCTTTAGCTCCTGTCTGGAACAGGCATGGCACAACTCTCTTCCAGCAGTAACAAGCACTGCTGACTTCTTGTGTTTGGGCAGACCTAAATTGATAAAAACATGGTGTTAATAACACATGAAAATACTACTCTTAAAATGCGTGGGGTTATGCTCACAATGAGGATCAGTCATAGCAGGACCAAGGGAAGAATTTCAGTGGCGTTTGTTTCGTGTCATTGCCTTATCCCTCATCTTCTCTTCACCTGTGATGTGGAGCAGATTCTTGCCTTTATAGGTAAGATGATCATATTAAAGTTACTGGTTTCTTTAGCATTTTGTGCAGAGGTGCTACACTGTTGCTTTTCAGTATGACTGCAAAAAAATCCTCTAGTGCACACACATGTCATGTCTGTGTGTTGATGCTCTCTGGCTATACTCTGCACTACACTTCTGAAATATTACCAGGGTTACCAGTTGGCATGATGCTATTCCAGTCTGTAAAGTACAATTAATATATTGGGGGAAAACCCACTTTTTTAGTTATTTACTAATAAGTTCCTTTTGTTAAGCTTCCATGTATTTCCCCGTCAAGGGTGTCAGATGGTGTGCACTTTGACAGGGAAAAATAATGGTGCATATAAGGCAGGGGTCAGTTTGTGCTAAATGTCTTCCAGATGGCAGTGCATAATAAGATATTGGGTTGTCCCTCCATCTGTCCAGTCAAGAAACTGTATCTTTGTTTTGCTTCTTGAGGAGGGTGAGTGTCTGCCTCTCCCTTCCCCTGCCAATAACATATTGAGCAGGGACAACGTGCTATCGTCTGCTCAGTGAGGAGATTTTATTTACTGCATCTACAGGGGAGTGCCCTGAAAAGAACTGAGTAAAAAGTTCACTGGCTGTTCTGCCAGGCATTTTTGTTTAGCGATGAAACCCAAAAGCCAAGCTCACTCTGATTTGCCAATACACGTCACACTAGGAGGAATTTGGGCTGTAATCTTTCCCTTTTTGCCGCAGGTGCAGAGCTCTGTGACAGGACTTCAGTTTTAGAAGAGAAATGTTTGGATTGGGAAGGCAGAGAAGTGCCCCGGCTGTATCAGACCATGACTTGGCTCTGTGCTTAGAGGTTTTAAATGTTTCTGAGCTGTGTCTGCCCATTCCCTTCCAACTTGCTCCCCATTCTGTGGGCAAAAAAAATCTAGCAGGTGCCTGGGAAGAAACAGCAGCTTGGAAGGCACTTGCTGTGTGGGTTGTCTTTATGGTCAGGCTGTAGGTAATGAGCAGTGCAGCCCAATCTGACCCTGTCCATGTGCTAAGGAAAGCTTCTGCTCTTGAATATAATCTTCAGCTGAGGTTGCAGAGCTGCAGCATGGCATTTATGGGTGGTTGGACTTGATCTTAAAGACCTTTTCCAACCTAGACAGTTCTATGGTTCTGTGATTTAGTTGGGACCAGGTGGAGCCAACACAGGTTTGTGGTGAATCCTGGGCGGTGAAAGCTGTTCTGAACCATAGTTAGTGTTGGAAAATGTTGTCCTCCCCCACATCAACCTCTCTCCCAGGCTTCAAACTGGGACAACCCTGCTCTGGCAGAGGGGTTGGACTAGATGATCTCCATAGGTCCCTTCCCAGCCCCACGTCATTCTGTGATTCAGTGACAGGAAGTGTGTATTTTGGACAGGGATGCTGTGCTGTGACACCCTGCCTTAATTTGTGTAGTCTGTACCATTTCTGAGCTGCTCTGCTCCTGCCTTGTCCCTTGTGAGCTTAATTATGCCACCAGTGGGCAGCACCCACCTGCAGGTAATGCCCATCTGGTGATGGACAATAACTGGTAGCACTACGCTGTTGCTATTCTACTGCAAACCATGCTGAATAGTGCCAAAATTATTATGTGGTGATATTAGCCCTTCTCAGAGTGACAGCAGTGGAGGAAAAAGAGTGGAGGCAGCCCATGGTACTCTGTCCACAGCCCACCTCCCACAGCACGCGGGGAGATGCCTCCTGGTGCTGGTCTTGGTGCAGGAGGTGAGAGAAAACGCAAGGACCAGCTGTATCTCCCCCGTGCTCCTTCACAAGGCCACGTGTGCCAGAAAGGCAGCTGACACTTGGCAGGCTGGTCTTTCTGGGAATTCAGTATTTATCGGTTTGGATGAAGCTTGGAAAGATGAAGAGAAGTTATTTGTGGATTTTAACACACACAGATACTATAGGTCGTAAAAGCAAACCCTGTGCTTTGTGAAGATGAGGGAGCAGAGCTCTTCTAAAAATGCCTGGGTTTTGATGGCAAGTTTTGCTTTGCATGAGAAATGACATTAGTCAAAGTGTATCTCAGAACAGTTTCATTTTATGTGGAAAGACTTGGGGGGGAAGCTGAAGGGCTGCAGATGAGCAGTGGGGGAGCAGGTGCTGCTGTAGGGAACTGATGGATCAGTTTTGTGTGTGCATAACATAAGGGCCAGAATTTTATGTGCGTTCAGTTTTCTTGCTGGGCTGGGCCCTCTTGTGAATTGTTTGAGTTTTGCAATTCTTTGTTTACTCTCCAAACAGATGTTCAGCATTCACTTATTTTTAGCTGTTTACTTTTTGCTTTAAAATCTTACTTTCTCCAATCGCCGTGTGACCCTATATAGTCACATCCCCTTTGTATATGTTTGATGCTATTGCTATATTAGGACAAAGACATTTTTAGCAAAGGGAAAAGTCCTTTGCATGAAAAAGGAAATAGCTTGCTTTTTCGTTTTGATTTATTTAATTATTTTCATTTGATGTGACTGAAAATTGAGGAAGTCTATGTCAGTGTCAGACGAGTTTGGACAAACTGGGGAAAGGGAAGGAGGGAGGAAGGAAGGAGGGAGAAAGGAAGGAAGGAAAGAGGGAAGAAAGGAAGGAAAGAAGGAGTGCATAAAGCAGAGATAATTTCTTAGAAGAAATAACTGAGTAGCTCTCCCATACAGCACAAAGCAACTTGATGGCTATGAGCTAATCAAGGTAAACCACTCTCAGAAAGAGCTTTCATGATCTAAGTAAATTAGTGGATAAACACTTTGGGGAATAACTGTTCTCCTGTGTATTGTAACTAAAGTTAAGGATGTGATTGGTGTTTATCCTATGTTTGTATACATGTGCCTAAAGAAAGGAACAATCTGTCCCTGAACTTTACCAACTCCTATTCAGTAACACAACTTAATCTACCTTCTACAATTACAGTATAATTACTGGGGGGAAGGGGAGAGGAAATTTTAAAAGGAACAGCTAAGAGAACTGTTTATATTTAGTTCAGGAAGCCTAAAAGAAACTTCTCAGCCAAGTCCTGGTTCCACCAGTGTTTCCTTAAACGTTTGTGTCTGGGTCTCTGGAAGCAGGAGCTGGCAGGAGGGGAGGCTGTTCCATGTGGCTGCTACCCCAGGACATCTGTGTCCCTCTGGAATGTTGGGGGTGCCCTTGGAAAGCACAGCGTGGTGTGACGACCCTATGCTGCTCCTGCTTTGGAAACATCAAGTCATTGGTTATTTAGTTCTTTCCATTAGTTTAATGAGCGTGGCCATGAGCAGGGGGAGCAGTGTCCTTGCCACTCTGCTTAAAGGGAGGCAGAATGCAAGTGAGCTTCTTGTGGGGCGATCTTTTGGATTCCCAGGGGATTTACCTTCTTAAAGAGAATTAGAAGGCTCATGAGAAAAAGTGTTTTCTTTGTGTTGCTGTCGAGGGTTTTTCTGATTTAGATTTTGCTTAAGAAAACAAAGTTAATGTCGCTGTAGTGGTGCGTTCTGTCTGGTCTGCCTTGGGGAGAGGGAACACAAGACGACCCTGCCCAGTGTGCCAGGGGTTTGGGCAGATGGATGGTTCCTCCCACACTTAGCTGTAGCAGTGCGTTCTGCTCCAGTCTGCCTTGGGGAGAGGGAACACAAGATGACCCTGCCCTGTGTGCCAGGGATTTGGGCAGATGGATGGTTCCTCCCACACTTGGGCTGGTGTCTGTGTGAGACCCCCTTTTCTGTGGGGACCAGGGGTGGGCACATCTCCCCACAGCACCCCATGGTTCCTTCCCTTGATGAGAAGAGACTTGGCCTTTCCAATCTGCATTTACATGCTCTGGAAATCAGTACGTGGCTGTCATTCTTCTGAGCTTGGGGCTGGTGGGGCTTTGCTGAGCAGGGGGACTTGTAGGAATTAATAAATACAGGAGTATTACAGTCCTGTAATCTTCACATTCATGTCATGAGTTCAGGGATTATCGTGCTTTTAGCTTTACAGTATAGGGAAAGCTTTGAAAGTAAGAGAATATTTTTAGTCCTGGGTTTTATTTTTTTTTTAATTCTAAAAACCAAGTCACTTAACTGAATGTTTGTATTGTAAGCTGAGGAGAAAGGGCTGTATGAGAACTGCAAAGTAGTCATCAGTGATTTATTTATTTTACTAATTTCATATACAGTTAAATTCCTCTGGCAGTTAATGTTATGGTGTATAAGAGCTGTCAGAACTGTGCAGTATTACTGATTATGTGGTCATCAGAGAAACTAAAAGAAATTGGGTTTCTAGGAAGAAGTAATTTGTGGAAGGTGGGGGAGAGAGATGGTATGGGGAGGGGATGTGCTCCTTAGAGCTCCTTAGTTTGGGTCCAGGCAAAGTTCATCTTTTAAGGAGTCTTCACTGAAGCTTCATGGGCACTTCTAAAGTTTGTAAGCTTATTATTTTTATAATTGTTTTGCAGCACTCCCAAGCCTGATAGCTGCAAAGAAGCCGATAACCTCATTCCTGGGGATGTGCCTTTGGCTCCGGCCCCTGGTGATGGTGTAGAACTGCCTGCTCAAGAAACTGAAGGTTTCACAAGGGAAAAAAAGAGGTATTGTGCAATATTATTCCATACATTACAATACATTTCAATGTCTGTGTGTCCTTTGTTTAAGAAAACGTAACTGTTGTGGAAGAGGCTGAATAACTTTCAGTAGGTGTTTTTTATCTAGTTATATGAACACTTCATTACTAGATTTTGAAACTAAATGTTAAACTATCAAGACCTGCTTTCTCCAGTGTATTTACTCCGAAAGTCCAGAAGAGGGAGCCTGGACTACGCTGGTTATTACCGTGCTCATCTTCCACATATTTTTAGAATAATACATTTTAAGGTTTTTTTTCCTTGTTTGAAGTTCAAGAAAAAGATGTAGATGCTGAGACTGTGCAAGATCAGGTCATATTCCAGAGGACTGTTCTACTAATTCTCCTTCAGTTGCTGCCAGTGTCTTTCCCCACCACACAGCAGTGATTTCCATTGTAGGTGTCGATACTGAAGGACAAAGTTCATCTTGGTTTTATTCTTGCTGAGGAAATGTTGAATTATCTTCAACAATTCTCAAAGTTGACATTTCCTTCAGATTTGCACTGATTGGTGCCACAGCATTTGATAGATGTCCTGAGTAATTTTTGGTTGGAAAACCCCCAAGCTGAATCCTCCCCTCTCAAATATAGTCAAGACGAGACATGTGCTTGGATATTCATGTCAGAGCTTCCGACGATGCCTGTCTTATGAGTGATTAACTAGTGTGCTCTTGTGGCTTGGCAATAAAGGCATGCCCTTATTGTGACATCTATTAATGGAAAAGGTCACAGCACAGCTGAGAATATTAAACGGGCACTCCCTGGAGAGCAGCGTTCTCCACCCCACAAATACAGGCTGCAGCTTGTGACAAGTGTGATACAAGGCAAGAGACACCACGGGAAATAGAGCTATTCTGCTGAAGCTCAGTTCAGAAATGTCAAAAGCTGCTGCTGTCAGCAGGAGGATGCTCTGAATCACGAATGAAAACATAAGCAATAGACATGTTCTGCTGTGGAACAGTGAATGAATAGCTACAAGCAAAAGCTATTCAAAAAAACATCCACATTATAATATCTAGGAATCATGATGGTCAACTGTTCTGAAGTTCTGATTATTTTGAGCAGAAAACAGTGTCCTCACCTCCAGTGCCTGTGTTTACTATAATGCAGTTAGACCAAGTCCTCTGTGCAATGTTCCTCTGTGATACTGTACCAGACCCACACTTTCTAACCTGTCTGTAGTTGTGAGGAACAGGAGTGCTCCCAGGTCTGTTTTGCACCAGTGTGCAAATTCTGTAACGTGGAGATTATTTTTTGAATGAAGGGTAGGTACCATGGTCATTCTCTGAAAATGGAGAGAAATGGTTCAGGTGAGGTTGTAAGTTGGAAAATATTCACCCCAAGAGGTTGGCTCTTTCCAGAGAATCATCTTTGTTGGAACTTTATAGATGCCCCAGACTGAATTTCACATTCTGTGAGTGCTTTAGTGTTGTCACAGGTGACATGTTTACAAATCCAAATTGAAACCACCAGAACATGTGGTGATACTTTTTTTTTTTTTCCCCTTTTCACCAGAATTCAGCATCAAAGAGAAGAGAAATAACTTTAGAACTCTGCAGACCAGCAGAGCTGCTGTGCTTTTCACCAGAACTCAGCATCAAAGAGGAGAAATAATTTCAGAACTCTGCAGACCAGCAGAGCTGCTGTGCTCACATATTTAGATTGGTTTGTGCCCTTGAAGTTTGTTTGGTTTTGATAATGATGTAGTGTGTTTAATAACGTCAGTATGTGTGCGTAAGAGTCTCTTGGATGGGGTAGAGGATGGTGTAATTCAGTAATGTTAGTGGAACTGCTTAATGCAAAATCAAATTCCAGCCTAGGATGTGAGGAACCAAAACGTGTGCATGTTCTTTTTGTAACATCAACATCGAGTTTCACAACCTTCATGGAAATGAAGGTGCATACGGAGGTGAGAATTAGAGAGATCTGAGAGACGAAAGGTAATTCTTGCATCCTCTTGAAAAGCAAACAGATTAATGTCCAAATAGCTCTTTGCCATTATAATCAGCCCCTTCTGTAAATACTTCTTGGACTATCTTGCATTTTTATGTGATTCCTATGTGTATCCCATTCATTATGTGCATCAAGTCAAATCAGCCATGGAAAATAATGGCATGCAAATAGGGTTGTGTGTCACTTTGTCACATTTATGGCAACTGCCTGGATGGGAAGGTGCTAAACTTCTGCAAATGTTCTGCCGCTGCACAATTTTCTGCAAAATGGGTCCTTGGGGCATTTCAGGCTCCTCTGTGATTATGATGGTCACATTATGAACTGTGTCAGAGCCACTTCATAATTTGGGAGAAGTGCTGAAATATTGCTCGTGAGTGTAAGTTGGCCTTTCTGGAGGCCCTGCAGATAGAGCTGGAAAGGCTCAACCTTTATCCATCGCTCTGATGGTCCTTTGAGGAAGAGAGATGGATATAACCCATTCTGTAGAACAAAAATCAAATGCTGTCTTTGTGTGTGTTCTCACCTGCTTTGAAAGCTCCACCTGTGATGTTAAATGTGGCTGGTGGGATTGGAGAGGTGGGTCCTCTTTGATGACAGATGTGGGGTCAGTTTTCTTTCAAAAGTTCATACAGACTGGAGTGGGATTGTTGTGAGAGACTCGGGATGGACAGGGAATTTCTGCTGATCTTGGAATCTCTGAAACTAAATACACATCTCTGTCTTACCCAATTTTCCTGAAACAAGCCTGGACCTAACTGGAAGCAGACCAATAAATCTTTCTATCCGAAAGCAAAAAGTCACAATTTTTACAGAAAGCTCTGCTTTCTGTCTTGTTGGTTTCCAAAAAGTAGTTTTTGTAATACTTCCCTGGGGGGGGAGCAAAGCTGAATTATTGGTGTCACACAGAAAAACAGGATAGGCTTTATGACTTCTGGTTTTTATTTGCTTGATCATGTGTTGAAAACAAGTTTTCTCCTTTTGCCCGCCTTAGGAGAGACTTGGTGTAAAACTAAGTAAATAAAAATTAATGTATTGCCTTCATTGATGACCAATATTGGTAATCCTAGACTGAGGTGCTCTTAATGATGTAATGAAACCCAAGAAGGGATTAAATGGGATTCAAAAACACAAGGCATTTTTCCTTGAGTGAATTTAACCCTTTTGAAAGGCATGAATCGCTCCACAAAGTTTACAAGTGCTTTGAGCAAGGAAGAGGTGGGAAATACAAGTGAGGGATCCAAATGTGATCTCAAGGCTGCCTTCTTTTCAAAGTGTGAGGTTTTGGGGTTTTTTGATTTTGGGGAGAGGGGGGATTGGGGATGGGGTTTTTTTCCATGTACTACCTGAACTGGATGATAGTGTGTGTCTAATGAGTCTGGATGGTTTGGTGTGCAAGTGAAGTGATTTTTATAATAGCAACAGAATGAAGGCATTGAAATAATGTTCCTTAGGTCTTGGAATCTAAAATCCAAGGATTTTTCTTGAGGCTTTGTGGCCGATATCCTGAAAAACATTCACCATCTTCTGAAGCACAACATAAACCATAGATACCTTGCCTGTAGTCAGCCAGTCTGTAACAATATGGGCAGGAATGAGCCCTGGTCCTGCTCTTCATTCAATTCCTCCGTTCTAGGTTCTTAAAATAGATTGTGTCTCCTGAGTGATGTGTTCAGAACCACTCAGCCCCAGGCGGGAGGATGCTTTGTGTTGCTCAGTGTAGATCTCTCCTTCCTATTACTGAGTAATAGCGTCAAATCCTGGGATGTCTGAGGCATTCCAAACCCAAAATGTTGTGGACTAAGTGCATTTTCTTGTAGCTGATTGTGGGACTGGTATGGTGGGGTCCCCAGGTGAGGGACTGGATCCTGCAGGCTTCTCTGGATGAACCCATGACTGGGGGGGAACTGTCCTGTGTGCAATGGGCAGGGTGCCTGGGGACCCCCACATTGTGTGCTGGCAGAGGATGGCTTCCATAAAACAACAGCAATTCAACAAATAGCTTCCAGTAACTGTGTTTTTAAAAGGCAAAGCATTAATGGATGCTTGACAGAAGTGGGAAATTTCACTGGTTTTATAACCATGTCTTTGTTCAGAATCTGAGCTCTCTGGGGTGCGTCCTGCCTGAATGTTTATGCTCAAAAAGAGCAATTATTTGTGTGTGTTGTAAAGCTGCTCTGTATGTGGCAGTGGACAAAAGGGCGATGGTAGCCCTCTGTTTGCTTGTTATTCCTGTGTATTTTACAGGTTCCCTCAGGCAATCTATGGTAATTTCCTTGCTGCTAGAACAGGTTCAGCAGCATGAAAATGAATATATCATTACGTTAATTAATCCATCCACAAGGAATTGCAGAATGGCATTAATCATCTTGTATCAACCCTGCAAAACTGGCAGTGCAGATTCAAGGCAGAGAGTATACACCTGGCTTGGCTGGCTGTTCCTTGGTGCTGTAGGACACATGGTGACAGCTCTGAGGGCACCAGAGGAGCTTGGCACTGCTAGGAGGGTGGAGGACTTGCAGGGACTCGCCTCTCAGAATCCTGGAATGGTTTGGGTTGGAAGGGACCTTAAAAATCATCTCGTTCCAACCCCCTGCCCTGAGCAGGGACACCTCCCACCAGACCAGGTTGCTCAAGGCCCCATCCAGCCTGGCCTTGAACCCCTCCAGGGATGGGGCAGCCACAGCTTCTCTGGGCAACCTGGGCCAGGCTCTCACCACCCTCACAACAAAGAATTTCTTCCTGAGATCTAATCTAAAGCTCTCCTCTTTCAGTTTAGAACTGTTTCCCCTCATCCTATCACTACGTAGAATCCTATGTAGAATCTTGTCCTAGAGCAGGTAATGACTGTTGAGTCAGGTGTATTTTGTATTTCTCAATAATAAATGTTAAATATGGCTTGTGCTTTTGGGGCACTCTACCCCTAATGCTAAATCTTTTTTTTAAAGAAAAAAGCAACCCCTGAAAAATACTGAAAATACTTCAATTTTCTGTTAACTCTTTTGAAGTCAAATTGAA